GTGCGCGCGTGTGTGAGGCGAGGGAAGGCGGCTGTCCCTGTTGCTATGCAGTGCAGTCATCCGGTGGAAGCCGGACCTGAAAGCCTGGTGAGGGCTGACGGTCTTACCTCCACACCCGCCGCCCTCCTCAGGCCCAGGGCCCAGACGGTTGGTTTGAATGAGCTGCCCGCACCAAGTCCCACTTTTGCGTGTGCCCTCTGCTTGCTTTTCCGGGCATGCAAGGCTCCGATCCCAGGGTGTCCACGCTTCCCCTGCGTCTCCTGGGAGGGGCTGCCTTCTTCAGGCTGTGCTGAGAGGTGTGTCACCTTCAAGGGACCCGCGCGCTAAGGTCTCGGTGCAATCCTTGAGACCAGGAACGACCCCTCTGCCCCTAGGGGCTGCCCCTCCCCCCACCACGTGAGGGGCGTTGTTTATGCTCCCACTGTACCTGCTGTATACACGATGAAGCCAACGTGCGGCAAGGGGGGGTTTTGGTACCACACGGCATGTCTGCAGCAGGGCTGAAAGTTTCTTCCTTTGCGTTTTTGGAGTGAAAGCGAGGACACCATGGTCTCCCCAGTTCTGCGGCCGACTTCCTTTGTGGTGTCTCCTCGCTTCCAGTCCAGCTGGGACACAGCCGGGGGCGGGAGCGGAGGCCTTGAATGATTCAGCGCTGCCTCTGGGCCTCCTGGTGAGCGGTTTGACACCAATACTAAGTGTTATTGTTGTTATTCCGCTGAAGCCGCCACCGCAGACGAGGTGCAGTTGCTTGGCGCCGCTCGGCTTTCTGACAAGGCATGAGGTTAGGGAGGAGGAGAGCTTTCTGCTTAGGATCCGGTGTGGGGCCCGCCCTGGGCAGACCCTCGGGGGCTTGATTTCTAGAGTGCGGGAATGCGGCGTACTCAGAAAGTGGGAAGAGCAGTAAGAACAAAGGCAGAAGCCAAGGAGCTGGGTCCTTTCCAGACAGGGACGCCAGACCGCCGCAGACTGCGGTGTGGGACAGGAGCGGGCTTGGATTCCATGGCACGGCCGTGCCGGCCATGAGAGAGAAGGCGGCATCTCTGTGATGTGACCCGACAGAGTCCAGCAGGGCTGTCCCGCCCAGGACACCTCCGTCTCAGGAGACATGGCCCAGGAGCCCAGCCAGCTGGCTCACGTCTCCCAGTCGGGACGACGTCTCCAGGAGGTGCTGCTGGGTGTGCTCAGCTGTCCCCTGGGAGGGGCTCTGCTCATAACAAAGCGGTGAACCCGGCTCTTTTCTGTGTACACAGCACTATCGCAGGCGTGATCTCCTTGGAGCCTCAGAGCAGCCCTGTGAAGTGGGCAGGCACGGTGTTATTATCCCCAATTAGCAGATGAACAAACAGAGGCTCGAAAGCTTGCCCGATCCCCATGGAGGAGCCAAGGGAGGCATCATTATCCCATTTTACAGATGACACAACCAAAGGGCTGAGACTTGCTTGAGAAAATATGGCTAAAAGCTGACAAGGCCGGAAGACTTGCGTCTTCTGCCTCCACGGCCAGCGCTTTTCCCTGCATCCAGGGCTAGTGCACCAAGGGGCCACCTGCATTGCCTCCCGAGAGGAGTGTGCTGGGGGTCTTGACGTGAGGCCTGATGGCCCAGAGGGGCAAAGCAGTTCACGAAGCGCTGGAGTGTGGGGACTCCAGCCCCCGGCTGCCTGGCTGGGTCGGCTTGAGGGCAGAGGCTCAGAAGGATGTCCCGGAGGGATGGGAACCGAGGACTGCTTCACAGCTTGGCCCTGGGTGGGCTCTGATGGCAGTGCCGTGGGGGGGTGAAGCTTCCGGGCTGCCAAGGCACAGGATGTGCCCGTGATCTGGGCTGTGAGGTGAGTCATTCTCCCAGGCTGTTTTTACTGTTAGGATCACTTGCGAGTCCCAGGAAAAATGTGTTGGGAGAAGGCAAACCTCACTCTAAGTTCTCATGCCCATTCTCTTGGAAGTCCACAGCTGAAGGTGTACTGAGAGGGGAGGTTGGGGGGAGGGTGGAGAGAGAGAGAGAGAGAGGTGGGAAAGAGAGGGAGAGAGAGAGATAGGAAGAGAAGAAGAGAAAGAGAAGGAGGGGGAAGGAAAGAGAGAGGAAAGGGGGGGCAGGGAAGAGAAATAGGAAGAGAGAAGGGGAGGAGAGGGGACATCTTTGAATGGAACCTGACTGGCTTCTCTCCCCTGCCTTCTGCCTGGGAGCTGGCGTTAGGAGAGGGGCGTGAGGAACTCTGAGGAGGGGCATTGCCTCCTGGGCGACACCCTGACCTCATTTGGAAAGCTGCAATGAGCCCATTTCCGGAGCAGCTCACCTCCGAGAATGTATGTCACTGGGATCAGGGTCTGCCTGGGAAGCAGTCCAGCCAGCCAAAGACAGACACCTGGGGAGTGGCTGGCTGGGAGGGGCTTCTCTCAGTGCTGGAGTTTGGCCTCTGAGAGGTTCTGAAATGCACCCAGGCAGCATTAGCCAAGCAGGGCGTTTGGAGGTTTGGTCCTGGAGGCATGGAATTAACAACCAGCAGGCAATGGGCTGGACTCATGCGGGCTGGGAAGGAGGGAGCCCCGTGCCTGGCTTCTCACCCCAGGCCAGCCTGGCCACCTATGATGCACGGTCTCACTCCCCCTCCACACCTAGCCAGAGGCCAGAGTGCTGGTGTCAGGGAACCCCTGCTTCTGGAGCTGGGCCTCACAGGCATCCTATGGAATAAGATGACTGGTGATCTCTTTGTTTTTGGTTTTGTTTCCGAGACAGGGTCTCACTCCGTTGTCCATGGTGGAGTGCAGTGGCATAATCACGGCTCACCACAGCCTTGACTTCCTGGGCTCAGGTGATCTTTCCACCTCAGCCTCCCAAGTAGCTGGGACTACAGGTGCATGCCATCGCACCCAGCTAATTTTTTTGTAGAGACGAGGTCTCACTATGTTTCCTAGGCTGGTCTCAAATTCCTGGGCTCAAGTGATCCTCCTGCCTTGGCCTCCCAAAGTGCTGGGATTATAGGTGTGAGCCACCGTGCCTGGCCTAGATGCTTTTTCATGAGAGTGGAGATGTGGGTGGGGTCCTCCTGGTGGTCTTGGGCAGAGCGCACCTGGGAGCTCATTTGCACCCTAGTGCTCACTCCTCTGACCCTGCCTGGCTGATGGACAGCTGGACAGGCCCTGGCCCTGTGGGTGACCTGCGGTACTCACTCTCCTGGCGGCCTTCCCTTCCTTGCCACAATGCTGTTTGAAAGTTGGTGCCAGTGGGCCTGGCCACTGCTTTTCTTCCTCATGAAGTCCTTGTGTCCTGTCTTCACCGGCTGTCAGCAGGCTGGGGTAGTGATGGAGAGGCTCATCACAGCCTTGACCTCCTGGGCTCAGGTGATCTTTGTGGAAGGAGAGGTGTGGAGAGAAGCCCCCACTGGGTCCCCTCGGAGCACACAGATCTCTGCCGACAGCCCCTATCAGCTCTCAAGAGCTGGGCAGCTGCCGTGTGGCCAGAGCCTGGCCCTCGCACCTGACCAAGGCCCCGGTGTGGGACTCTTTATCCAGAGGTCCTCGACAAGCGGCCCTAGGACTGAGTCTGCCCCATGGGTGTGCCTTACCTGGTCTGCTTAGTGCTTATACATTTAAAACATTTATTTGAAACATTTAAAAATCAAGATATCTGATATGAAAAATCTGGCATTGCAGCTTCTCTCATAAACTCAGAAGCGCCGGCAACCTGGGTGCACGTTCACATGGCAGTGGCCAGCTGCCTCCTCGAGTTGGGGCACCCGTCTCCAGCTAGCCTCAGGCCCTACCTGGTCCACTTGCTGCTCAGTCGCATAAGCAGGTGTGTTCACAGTCCCTGGTAGAGCTTCTAGAACAGCAGAGCTGAGTTTGAGCCATGATGTGGTTCCAGCTTCTCGGTTTTCAGTTTAAGAAGTGGAGGCCCAGGCAAGGGACACTCTCCGGGGCCATGTGGCTCAGGGTCCAGCCTCCTGGTCCCAGGTCCATGGGCCACTTTCCGACCAGGGCTTCTTGGCAATTCACACACAGGTGAGAGCCTAGGGCCCCCGCGGATGTGTCTGGAGTGTGTGTGTTCCGTGGAGGCTGGGGGCGAAGGCTCTGTCGTATGAAGGGTGTGGTGCATCCTCTAGTGACTCCCCAAGACCCCACAGACACTCTCCAGGGAGAGAAGCAGGTCTCCAGGCATCCAGAGCTTGGATAGCATTCTAAGCTCAGGAGACTGTTGGGGTGAGGCTCTCCTGCTCTGGCAACGTGAGAATCCCTGGGCCCAAGCCAAGAGGACAGGGGACTACAGAGGTTGTTTCCTGCCCAGGAAGGCCCCTAAGTGGTGTTCCTGATCAGTGGGTGGCTCTCCTCCAAGCAGTGACTCAGGGACCCAGGTTCTTCCAACTTGTGCTGGCACCGCCTTCAGCATGTGGTTCCCAGGGGCTTCCGTGGAAGGGACAGAGCAAGGTTCGCCTGGATTTAGGGAAGTCCCGGTCGTGTTCTTGGACTCACACTTTTCAGGTCCTCGATCTACCCATCACCGGCTGGCTCCGTCTGCCTCCGCAGCCCTCTTCCCTGTCATTTGTTCTTTCCCCAGCTTTGAGCAGGTTTCCGTATCGCCCATCTTAGCTCCTCCCTTTAGAAATCCCCACAGCTTCTTGTGATGAGTCTCATCTGCACACCAGCTCCAGCCTCGCTGGAGTTGCCTCTGGCCTTAGAGACCACGTGCACCACTGTCCTATCACTGGGCCTCTCCTCCTGCCTGGGTCGCTGCCGTCCCCTCGCTCCCCAGACGCCCCATCTGCCCTCTGCTGCTGGCGACTCCCTGGCTTCCTTTCTGACTCAACACAGTCTTCAGGAAGTCTTTTCTGAGCAGGCATTCGGGGTGAGCTGGGACTTGTCTGGAACATTTGTCACCGTCTCATTCACTTGTATTTATCTACTTGTCTTTCTCCCTGGAGCGCCCAGACTGTCTTTTGTGGGGCCTCCCCAGAGCCCAGCACTGGCAGGGACTCCATAAATGAGCACCGAGCGACGGGATCAGCTTAATGACATGGGACAAACTGGCGGTGTTCACGCTGCCTGCGGGGCTCGGTAGTCCAGGGGCTCCGTGCTGGGCATATTTCACCCGGTGGGAGGCTCGTCTCGAATGTGGGGGACTGAGGCTGGAGCGGGCAGGGAGGTGCCTTGTTGCCCTGTGCGGCTGAGACCTTTTCCCCCAGATGCTGGAGTCTGTGTTGACGTCAAGTCCGCAGGTGTGCATGGGGGCAGAAGTCACCCCTCAGTTCTACCATTTCTGGCCTCCATTCTTTTCACCCACACTTTTCTCTGGGGACATTGGGACACCCATGGGCCCTTTTTGTTCTGTGGTGAGGGGTGCTGGGCGTGAAATCCCCCTGGGGTGCTCTGACCCGGGTTGTATCTTGGCCTGGGCCCCAGGCTCTGAGTTCAGGGTGCAACAGGTGTTCCGGTATCCCACAGGCTCCTGCCCCAAGACTGCTGTGAGCCCCTCTCGGCAGGGTCAGGGCATTGGTCTTATTTAGCGATGGTTTCTCCAAGCATAGGGCCTCACATGTTGTGAGCACTTGATATCTGGTGAATAAATGAAGACCTGAAGGGTCCTGCCGTGTGTGTGTGTGTGTGTGTGTGTGTGTGTGTGAGAGAAAGAGAGAGAGAGAGAGAGAGAGAGAGAGAGAGAGAGAGAGGAGGGTCAAGAATCTTTTATTTTGTCTCGGCTTTGGCCCTGCTTTAGGCTTTTAAAAATATATTTTTTAGCCAGGCATGATGGCTCACACCTGTAATCCCAGTATTTTGGGAGGTGGAAACAAGAGGACTGTCTGAGTCCAGGGGTTGGAGACCAGCCTGGGCAATTTGGCAAGACCTCACCTCTACAATAAATCAAATAATTAGCCAGGCGTGGTGGCGCACACCTGTAGTTCCAGCTACTCGGAAGGCTGAGGTTTCTACCTCAGCATCACCTGAGTCCAGCAGGTCGAGGCTGCAGTGGCTGTGAGCATACCACTGCACTCCAGACTGGGCGATAGAGTGAGACTCTGAATTAAAAAAAAATGTATATACATATACATATACATATTTTTTTTTTAGAGGCAGAGTCTTGCTCTGTCACCCAGACTGGAGTGCAATGGTGTGATCATGGTGCCCTGCAGCCTCGACCTCCTGGACTCACGCAATCCTCCCTCCTCAGCCTCCTGAGTAGCTGGGACTACAGGTGTGCACTGCCAGGCCTTCTGGGATAGCTCAAGGCTGCCTCTTGGGCGAACCCTGCAGTCCTGCTTCCCCTGCCCTCCTGGGGCACCTGTAGTGTGTACGGCTCATCCCCGTGCACCAGGAACCTTCTGGGTGTTAGCGCTGAAAGACCCACCTTCTGGGAAACCCCTCAGTTTCGGGTCAACCGAGACAGAAGGTCCCCTCAGCGTGAGCCTCCGTCCATCTTCTCAGGTCCACAATCTGCAGGAGCTCCGGCGAAGCGCCTCTCTGGCCACCAAAGTCTTCATCCAGAGGGACTACAGTGACGGGACCATCTGTCAGTTCCAGACCAAATTCCCCCCAGAGCTGGACAGCCGGGTAAGGACGCCTTTTCCTGCTCTTGCAGCCCAGGGCCATGGTGGAGCTGAGGGTCTCCCTGGAAAGCTCGATTTTCCAGGATCAGATGAAGTGTGGTGTCACAGAACGCATAACTCGTGCCACCACGCCACACAGAATAGAACAGTCTTTCACGCTGTCTTACTGTCTACTCGTGGGTGGCTGGAGCTGGAGGAACCTGAGACGTTCTGCTCAGGTTTCAGCGGCAGGAGAATCGTGTTACGAGCCTGTTCAACAAGCGGAAATCCCGGGTCCTGCGGGACAGCCCTAGTGGCCTCCGAGGCGTTGCCTCCGTGTCACCCGCGGGTCAGAACACACCACTTATTAGCTGCAGTTCTCAACCGTGGTTGCATTTCCTGGGGAGCTTAAAAAATCCTGACGCTCAGGCCACACTCTAAGCCAGTTAAATCAGAATCTCCAGGGATGTGGACCCAACAGCAGCATTGTTTAATTTTTGTAAATGGTTTTATTCCAATAGCTTTAGGGAGATAAGAGGTTTTTGGCTACATGGATGAACTGTATGGTGGTGAAGTGCGCCTGTCACCGAATAGTGTACATGTGCCCTGGAGACAAGTCCTCATCCCTCACCCCTCCTTCCCTGCGTGCCTTTGTGGACCCTTAGCTTGGCTCCCACTTCTGTGAGAACGTGTGTCATTTGGTTTTCTGATCTTGCTTTACTTAAGTTAGGATAATGAGCTCCAGTTCCATCCAAGTTGCCGAAAAGGACATTATTTCATTCTTTTTTCATGGCTGAATAGTATTCTGTGTGTGTGTGTGTGTGTGTGTGTGTGTGTGTGTGTGTGTGTGTGTATGTGTGCATGTAGATATAGGTGCCCCCAAAAATGTATACACATTTTAAGTATGACTTTCGCTTAAAAGATGACTTTAATCAAATGTACGCTAGCGTCACCAAGCGCCTGGCAGGACTGTCAAAGAAAATGGCGGAAACACGGTTGAGTGAACTTCATGTTACACATTGCTACCGTATTTCAATTCAACTTTGAAAAATAATACATAGGCCGGGCTCGGTGGCTCAGCCTGTAATCCCAGCACTTTGGGAGGCCGGGGTGAGTGGAATGCCCAAGCCCGCCGGTTCGAGACCCACCTGGGCAACTTAGCCAGACCTCATCTCTACAATAAATCAAAAATTAGCTGGGCGTGGCAGCGCATGCCTGTAGTTCCAGCTAATTGAAAGACTGAGGCAGAAGGATCGCTGGAACCCAGCAGGTCGAGGGTGCGGTGGCCGGGAATGTGGACTGCATTCTAGCCTGGGCGACAGAATGAGACTCCAACTCAAAAAAAAGAAAAGAAAAGAAAAGAAAAGAAAAATAACACATGATTGATGTGTATATAGTTTTTTGGCACCCTCGGAATATATACACTACATTTTCTTTATTCTCTCATTGGTCAGTGGGCACTTAGGTTGATGCCACATCTTTGCCATTGTTCATTGTGACAGCTTGTTTCAAGTCTTAAATTCAAAATTAATTTCAATCATAGTTTTTCAAGCCTTCGTTGTTGATGGGGATTCCCAGGTGAGTTGGAATCCAGTGACTCAGAGATCACACCCGGGGAGCTGCTGGTCTTCCAGTAAGGTGCTTCTTTTCACCCTTGGCTGCACCTTGTAGATACCTGGGGCTTTGAAAGAGGAACCTGGCAGGTGTCAGCTCTGGTAGGGCAGGGCAGTGGTGGGCTCTACTGCTCCAACCCATCCTCCCCCATCCCAGGCATCTGGATCAGAACCTCTCGGTGGGAAGCTTCAGACATCGTTGGACTGAATGGCTGACCAGATGATTTTAGTGTACAGCTGGCGGTGAGAACCGCTAAGTCCTGTTCTTAAAACTGTGGTCTGTGGATGGACAGTATCAGCTTTGCCTGGGAACTCGTGAGAAATGCAGAGCCTCAAGCCCTGTGCTGGAGCTACTGAAGCCAAATCGGTGTTTTATTTTTATTTTTTTATTTTTTGAGTTGGAGTCTCACTTTGGTGCCCAGGCTGGAGTGCAGTGGCACACTCCCGGCCACCACAGCCTAACCCTGCTGGACTCCGGTGATCCTTCTGCCTCAGCCTTCCAAGTGGCCGGAACTACAGGTGCACGTTACTACCACGCCTGGTTACTTTTTGGTTTATTGTAGAGACGAGATCTCACCAAGTTGCCCGGGTGGGTCTCGAATCCGTGGGCTCAGGAAATCCGCTCGCCTCGACCTCCCAAAGTGCTGGGATTACAGGCTTATTTTTATTTTTTGAGTTGTAGTCTCTCACTCTCTTGCCCAGGCTGGAGTGCTGTGCCTCAGCCTTCCAAGTAGCCGAAACTACAGTCATGTGCTACCATGCCTAGCTACTTTTAAAAAATTTATTGTAGAGACAAGATCTCGCCAAGTTACCTGAGCTGGTCTCGAACCTGCGGGCTCAGGCAGGCCACTCACCTCAGCCTCCCAAAGAGCTGGGATGACAGGTTGAACCACCAAGCCCGGCTTGTGTTTTATTTTTTAAGTGTCTTTTAAAAATACAGATGAGGTCTCACTATGTTGCCCAGCCTGGTCTCGAACTCCTGGGCTCAAGCAATCCTCCCTCCTCAGCCTCCCAAAGTGCTGAGGTTGCAGACATGAGCCACCGCCCAGCCCTGAATCTGTTTTAACCAGATCCTCAGGTTATTCTTTACACACTGAAACCTGAGAGTGCCTTGCTGGCCCACCTTCTTGTTTTGCAGAGGACACAGAGGGCCGGAAGGAGAAAGTGACTTAAGAGGCTTAAAAAGTCCCAGGAGGGCCTCGGTATCTGACTCGCTGGTCCCCAGGACTCTCACTTTCTTATTGATGCAACCACGCCCTCAGGGGGTATAGGCACAACTAGGTGCCCTGGTGAACACAGCCTGGGCAGGTGGGCGTAGAGGCCAGAGGAAGAGCTGCAGCTGCCCCTTTCCTCCCTACCTTGAGGAAAGGGGAGACCCTGGCGCTCTGTCCCAGAGCAGGCTGGATGGCAGCCTCTGCCCCTGGACTCAGCAGCTTGGGTGAGTCAGAGGACAGGCCCCTCTGAGGCGTCAGCTGCTGAGCTCTGCTCCTGGCTCTGGGGTGTCCCAGGCTGTCCAGAGCTGGCCTGGGACTCACCCACTCAGCGGCCCTGGCAGGTCCAAATGGGCTCGGGAAGGTGGGCAGGGCTGACCTTTTTTTACTTTTTTAATTTTTTTGAGTTGGAGTCTCACTCTGTCGCCCAGACTGGAGTGCAGTGGCCGCTCCCGGCCACCGCAGCCTCGACCTGCTGGGCTCTGGCGATCCTTCCGCCTCAGTCTTCCAAGTAGCCGGAACTACAGGTATGCGCTACCACGCCCAGCTGATTTTTTGTGACTTATTGTAGAGACGAGGGTCTCACCAAGTTGTTCAGGCTGGTCTCGAACCCGCGGGCTCCGGCAACCACGTGCCTCAGCCTCCCAAAGTGCCGGGATGACAGGCTGAGCCACCGAGCCTAGCCGTGGAGTTGATTTTTCTATCAGATGGCACGGAACATGACAAAAGGAGCAAGCCCAGTTGATCCTTGAACAGCACGAGGTTGTGGGGGGCCCATCCCCTGCACAGTCAGAAATCTGGACAGGACATTTGATCTCTCCAGACCTTAATTGCTGACAGCCTACTGGTGACCAGAAGCCATGTGATCACAGCGGCCTAATGTGTGCTTTGTATGTTATTTTTTTTTAATATATGGTGTCTTGCAATAAAGTAAGCCAGAGAAAAGGAAATGTGATGAAGAAAGTCACGAGGAGGAGAAAACACATCTGCCATGGAGAAGGGGATCACCACAGAGGCCTTCCTCCTCACCATCTTCTCATTGAGGAGGAGGAGGGAGGGGCTGGTCTTGCTGTCTCAGGGGTGGCAGAGGCGGAAGGAAATCCACATCTTTTTTTGGAGTGAGAGTCTCACTCTGTCCCCAGACTGGAGGGCAATGGCCGCTCCCGGCCACCGCAGCCTTGGCCTGCTGGGCTCCGGCGATCCTGCCTCAGCCTTCCGAGTAGCCAGAATTCCAGGCATGCGCTATCACGCCCAGCTGATTTTTTGATTTATTGTAGAGATGAGGTCTCGCCAAGTTGCCCGGGCGAATCTCGAACCCGTGGGCTCAGGCAATCCACTCACCTCAGCCTCCCAAAGCGCGGGATTACAGGCTGAGCCCCCGAGCCTGGTGGAAACTTTCCCCACATTTAAGTGGACCTGTGCAGTCCAAACCTGTGTTGTTCAAGGATCAACTGTAAACATAAAAACGCAGTAAGTCCCCTACATACGAACCTTCAAGTTATAAACTTGAACAATGCATACCTGTGATTTTTTTTTTTTTGAGTTGGAGTCTCACTCCCTTGCCCAGGCTGGAGTACAGTGGCACGCTCATGGCCACCCCAGCGTCGACCTGCTGGGCTCCGGTGATCCTTCTGCCTCCAAGTAGCTGGAACGACAGGTGCATGCTACAATGCCAGGCTAATTTTTTTTTTTTTTTTTTTTTGAGTT